AGACGAGGTCCGAAAGCGCTGTTCCTCCATCAACTCCCGGTTGGGCTCCAAATTAGCCATTGCGGACACGGAGGTGCGTATGTCTGTATGTTTGTGTGTTTGTGTAAAGAGGCGTTGTGTATGTGTGTATATGCCAAAAGGGGGCGGGGATGCTTTTATTCTGTATGTGTATGTGCGCATGTATGTATATATGTGATCGAGTCATTGGGCTCCGTCTTCTTGGCCTCGTGTTAGGGGGAGAGGGTGGAGGTGCTCCAGAAGAGCAATGTTCGTGAAGTAGAAGAGCCATGTACTCGATGTGCTGCTCACTGCGCCCTGCGCCCTTACCCCAACACCCTCCCCTACGCCACCCCACCCATTCGCACACGTCCGTACATTCGTACGACAGCTGGTATCGACGTACGAAGCCTGCCGTACGTTGCTGTCGGAGGGAGTGGACTTGTCGGCGGCCTCCGCCTCCGCAGCCACCGCCTCCCTCGCCCAGATGGAGTGAGTTTGTAATAGTTGTACGGCAGTGTTTTCTTGCCATACACTTGCTGTTTTTCCTGTTGTACACGTGGGAGCTGTCTTTCATTACTCTCCTACCTGCATGGCGAGTATTGAAATGTGTGTGTATGTGTATATACCTCTGTACTGCGATGTACTAATTGTACGGCAGGAGTGACGAACGCAAGGCTGCTGCTACGAGTGGCGAGGGGGGAGGTGATGAGAGTATGAACGCGCTCATGGAAATGGGAAAACTGAACACGGCAAGAATCCGCAAGGTACTTTGGGGGCCGGGTGAGAGGGGGTTTGCATGAGTGTGTCTGTATGTATATCTGCACGTGTGCGTGTATCGGGGGTGAGGGGGGAGATCGTCGGCTGGGGAGACGGGTGATGTGTATGTGCTTGTCAGGCAGAGGCCGCCCTGTTGTTTTGGACATCATCGTTACAGTCGACACACGCATGTTCGTCTCAGGTGCATGCAGTGATTACACGCACGGCCCGCTGGCCCGCTGGCTCTACTCTTGATGAGTCTGGAGCCCACTGTACCCCCCCCCCCCACACACACACACATTCCCCTCCTTTCCCCCCTCAGGCCTTTCCCCCAAGATCCACCTCTCCCACCCACGTCTCCCGTCACCCCAACCTCTCCCCTCACCCTCCCCACCTTTCCCCTCACCCCCCAGGCCACAGACCCCAAAATCCTAGACGTTAAGAAGCGAGTTCGGGAAGTCCGTCGGAAGCTGAAGCGCGAGTCCAAGGTGCAGCTCAGCGATGAAATCATCTTCTTTGACGACATCGCCGGGAACAAGCAGGCCAAGGTGGGGGCCCGTGTATAATTATGGAGGGATGGAGGAATGGATCCGTCTATTTTTGGTATCTGCTTCACTCGCCAGGGGTTCATCTTACCCTTCCCCCCTGACCCGGGGCACACCCCGTGCAACCCAACACGCTCTTACCCCTTTTCCCCCCCCCCATCCTCGCCCATCCTCTTCCCCCCTCTTCCTCCCTCCTCCCCCTCTTCCCCCCTCTTACCCCCTCTTACCCCCTCTTACCCCCTCTTACCCCCTCTTACCCCCTCTTACCCCCCTCCCCGATGTCCCCTCCCCTCCCGCAAGGTCGAGTTGATGGAGGTGGTGGACTTCTTCCGTACGCCCGAGAAGTTCCGGGCTAGCGGGGCTCGGGCGCCCAAGGGCGTGCTGCTGGTGGGCTTGGGGCCCTGAGGGGGGGCCAGGAGGAAAGGGGGGAAATAGTGGGGAGGTGGGGAATGTTTTTTTGTGATCTAAGCTGGGGAAGTGTGTTTTAACGATCTGTGTGCGTGTTTCCAAACCCCTTCTCCCCCTCTTCCCCCCTCTCCCTTCTCCCCTGTCATTTCTTGTTTCCTTGCACACGATTGATTCCCCTCCTTCCCTTCCCCCATCTCTCCCCCGCCTCCGGTCAGGTGGGCCCCCCGGGTAACGGTAAAACCCTGATGGCACGTGCCGTGGCGGGGGAGAGCGGCGTGGCGTTCATCTCCTCCTCCGCGGCTGAGTTCATCGAGATGTACATGGGCCTGGGGGCGGCGCGAGTGAGGGACCTGTTCAACACGGTAGGGGGGGAGGGAGGGGGAAAGGGAGGGGGGGAGGGAGGGGTGTTGCGAAGTATAGAAGAGGGGGAAGGTAGACGGTTCAGACATCCTCACAGTATTTTCCTACTTAAACCCGTACAGGCCGCACATACACCCACGCCGGGCTGACTCTTATTACAGTTCCTTTTCTCGCTTGCCTGGGTTACGTACGGTGTGCCCGCACGCTCGTCTGTATGTGTGTGTGTATTTTTTTCTCCTCCCCACACACTCCGCCCTTTTCCCCTTACCCCCTTCAACCCCCCCCTTCAACCCCCCCCCTTCACCCCCCCCCTTCAACCCCCCTTCACCCCCCCCTTCACCCCCCCCCCTTCAACCCCCCCTTCACCCCTCCCCCCCCATTGAAGGCTCGATCCGTGGCCCCCTGCATCATTTTCATTGACGAGCTGGATGCGGTGGGTCGTCAGCGCCAGGGAGGGGGCAGGTCCAATGACGAGAGGGACAACACCGTCAACCAACTGCTAACTGAAATGGACGGCTTTGAGGCGGAGCAACAAGTAAAAGAGGGGGCGGGATTGACGTGTGTATATGTGTATGTGTATGTATGTGTATGTGTATGTGTACGTTTCAATGATCTGAGCCGCGATGAGGGATGTGCCAATGGTGGTTGTCGCGATGCTGTGAGGAGGTGTTTGCGGGTGCTGGGGCGCCCACTACGACGGACGAAGGGGTGACGGGTGTGTGGCAGGATCAGGAGAGGCAGAACGGATGGGGGGCCGGTGTGGGGGGCGGGGTGGCGGTGTGGGGGGCGGGGTGGCGGTGTGGGGGGCGGGGTGGCGGTGTGGGGGGCGGGGTGGCGGTGTGGGGGGCGGGCTATTTTGGGAGCTCCCTCCCCCCTCCACGGCACCCTGTAGCCCAGGTGTGTGTATTCGCATGAGACGGCGGGTTGCGGGTATTGGGGGCCACAGTGGCTGTGGCAGGTGGTAAGGGCATGTGAGGTAGTTGTGTGGGTAGTTGTGGTGGGGCAGTAAGGTGTGTGTGCGTGTGTGTATTTAGTGTATTTGGGTGCGGGGGGTGAGGAAAGGTTGGGGGTGAAGGATGGTTGAAGAAAGGTTGGGGGTGAAGGATAAGTACATAGCGAGCTGGTGTGCG